GTATATATTTCTTACGCAATGTATGTTGTTATTCATATCCTCATTGACTGAAAACATGAGACAAAACCATCATATGTCACATCATAGAGATTTACTCAAATGTAACCTACATCTCATATCAACTTCTCACTTGGTATGCAATATTTGTGATATTATTCGGCCGAATCTTGGGCATTGTTCACATAAATTACTTTCATTTCAAATGGAATAGCTCTGAATCTTAGTGTTTCAACCTCACATGGGTAAATGAGATGATCAATCCACAAATTATTCACCAGCTGGATAGTTCATATCGATATTTCTCACAGTTGAATGGTACTAGTTGGGTAGTTGAAAAAGTACTTACCTGTGAAAATTGACAACGAGGACCGTGAAGGTGGTAAATCATTTGTGGATTGATTCTCCTACTTAAGGTATATTAGTTCACTCATGTAAGCTAATTAGATTCAGGTGATCTGAACAATTCAGCTAAATGACGTGGATTTGTTGAAAAAAATCACTGATAAGATTGGCCTGAAAGAGGAAAACGGAGATTCAGTGCTTAGATCAAACTAATCTGGTTAGCGTGATTTGCAGATCAAAGTGAGTTGTTTCTAAAAACTCATGTTGTTCAGTAATATGCTTTTCACAACAGTATAACTGTCAAAGTCAATATAATGATTATCAATTGAACTATCTATTATAGCCGTAGTTTGCCAGACTAGTATAGATGCTGGGTGATATCGAAGGTGACATGAAAATTCGAACCACAGCCGGATTAGAAGCAACGACCACCGGGTTTCCGACCCGATGCTCTACCAACTGAGCTATGAGGTCCAACTGCTGACCTGACTAGGCAGCCAGTGTGAATATGATCAAGTGGCAGTAACGCGTCACGAGTTTACATGCTAGTCGGGCAAAACCCATGGTAATTGAAGTGAAATAAAAATCTGGTCAGTAGTCAGGCCTGGTAGCTCCGTTGGCAGAGCATCGAACCGGAAACCCTCTGGTGGCTAATTCGAATCCAGCCATGGTCCAAATCTCCACTTCACTTTCAATCGTCACTCAGTATAAATACTAGTCCGCTAAACTATGGCTGTCTCAGATAATCAAAATGATAATCATGGTCAATTTAACAATAAACGAACTGTGTTGTTATTAACGTTTTCAAAAAGTCACAAAATATATTGGGATTACAGTGCCGTACTTACAGTTATTACTAGGAAAAATTACAAAGTACAACCGTTAGAACTATTATCACTATGTATGGATCTACTTTCAAGTGTACACCATCCTACATTCACTTGTAGCTGGAAGTTTAAAAATATATGATAAGAAGAGTTACATAGGACGTTCAGTGTGGTAATCATAACTCCTTTATCACAGCATTTCGCTTATAACTCTCTTGCATGCATCTGAATCATGACAACTGATCATGTACCTAATCCGTTTAAGCTTAACCATGATATGTTTCTTTATTGGCTGAGATTATAATTAACTTTCAAGATTTATTTGTTTCGAATTTCATTCTCAACTGAATTTATTTTGTTATTCTAAATATGCTTATACTACAGAATGTTAGCTTTTAAAAAGTGACGACGTTCAGGTATATGTTCGGTCATTTACCCCTTATCCTTTTTAGTATGGTTTATCTGGTGGCTATGACCGGTAATAAGAAATGAAGCAAATAGGTGAGTTTCTTTCACGGTTATTAATTCAAGCAATTTACTACCCAAATGCACTAACAATTACCTTTTTCGATTAATTTAGGTTACTCTAGCGTTTACGAAGCATTTAGAAGTTATTTTCAAGCTAAATATGAATTAGAATCGCAGTCATTTAATATCTCATCGCACAGAATTTTTGTCATATATCACCACATTTGACTCAAATTAACTTTGAGACAACAAACGAGTTAAATATTGAATCTCCATTACAAGTTTTTACTTCTTAGAGGCATAACGTCTCTCAGTATAATGGAATAGCTGCATTCTAGAAAAAGTAAGATGAGTCATTACTGTTACTACCATTGTGAATAAACAGCACCTCGTTGGGTAAATGTAAACAGATGATGTGTTCATTATACGTGTGCAAATTATAGTTGGTGTTCTATTGTCCTCTGTTAATTAACCAATTATATAAACTTTAGAAGAAAGACAATATCTCTTCCCAGCTCATTTTATTTGTTGAGAACGACTGTACATTCCATGTGTTATTTGTCTTGAAGACGCGGATTGTAAATAATTTAGAAATTACTCTTCAATAGCTTCGAAAGTTTAGGAAAATACCAGTTTAAACAAGTCAGTTGCGAGATAACAATGTGATACAACTCTTAAATTTTACTTGGCTATCCCGTTAACACAGTCGTATTTGTTCTAACCAATCTTCAATGTAAGCAGTGATGCATGGATGAACATGAACTAAATTTTACTCCACACGAGCAACAAACACAACAGCAAGAATGAAATCAAAAGGGGACACCATGAGATCTGAAAAACCTACAGTATTTTTTAAGGCGTATTGGCACGTATAACTAATAAATAAAACCAGTTTCATCGGAAATACAATAGTGGTATTTAAAAACTTTATGCGAATGTTACCTAAAGAATATGTGGGATAGACAACATTCGTGGCGAATGTTTATAGCTCATATGGATGTTCCTGGTTGTGTTGTATTCTCTGAGCTGGGTGCCTTAATCGAGGAGTTCTAACTGTTTTTCGAGATAGCATCATCAGCACTAGCTTCAGTAGGAAGTGAGCTGTTAATATTTCTCCGTGAGTGATTCAGTAGCTTGCCCTGACGAACTGGTTTATGACTAGTTGTTTCCTTTGATTGTTGTGACATTGACTACATAGATTTTCTTGTTGACTGTCCTCTGCTTGACCTCTAACCTTTTGTTGTTTATCACTTTTCTTATTGACTGATAGATTTGGTCTATGTTTATACATCTGTTGATCGCTGAATGACCTCAATGCCAAACTCCCAAGAATTCTTTGTTATTCTTTACGTTTCTTCTCCCCAAGATTTCTAGATTGTCAAAATTGAATTCTTGTCCATAGTTATCCGTGCGCATCTAAATGAGCAATGAAATTCCATGACGTTGATTAACTAATTAATGTTCGTATAAATGAAGGCAAAGAGGGCGACCACTTTTTCGAATATAGTGTTGATCACAATTATTGCAGTTGATTTTGTAGATGATATTTGGTTCGTCTCCTATGGCTGTTGTGTCATCTGCTCTGCGTAATATGGTTTGAAGTGAATTTGTTTGTTTATCAGACGCATCAGTTTCTAGTGGTCTCAGTAGTCTTTCCATGATATCTAATATATTCTTTATGTAAGATAGAATGATTCGTTTGTTGATTTCCGTCGATGACCTTGTAGTTGGTCATGGACGGGATAGGCATCTCCTGATTAAGTTTTACGGGCAGCCATTCTTCTTTAGGAAAGATATCAAATAATTTTCTTCGTTTCTCCATAAAGCTGTTGCACTGCAGTGTGTTCTCGCTCTTTTGAATAGAGTCTGCACGTAACTAATTTTGTACATTGTTGGGTTGTTGCCACTGTAGTTAAGGATTCGATCAGTGTAAGTTGGCTTTCTTTTTACTTGAGTTTCCAGTTTTCCAGTATTTGTTCTACTGACTAAAACACCCAGGAATAGTAATTGGTTGTTTGACTCCTTCTTCATTATGAATTCGATGTCATCAAAAACGTTGATGATCAAACCGGAAGCATTTTCTAAATCACCTTTTTTCAATAATGATAAAGTATCCTCCACACAATGAATCCAAATTTTTTCGTTAATCACAGGCGAACTGATGGCTTCCAGTCTCTGCATCACTGCTGCTACAATTAATCCATGGAATTCCTTTCATCTGTTTGTTTATCTTGCCACTAAACTGGAAGTATGTTGTCAGACAAAAATCGATGAGTTCCATCAGACCTGAACACTGAAGTTTTGTGCTTTCTGAAAGGTTTGTGTCTTAGTGAGCAGGACGGACATAGTTTTCTTGGCCAATCGTGGTTCGATGGATATGTATCGTGTTTGGATATCGAGGGATAGCGTTATTTCGTAGTTTTCTGTATGATTGCTTTTGATCTTTTCTAAGAATCTTGTTGGTGATTTGATGGAATGTCCTCATGACCTAACGTGGTGTTTCACTTTTCTCGAGATTTCTCTTGAAATATTGCATGTTGGAGTTCACGGAAGTGAGACTATTGGTTATAGAGAAATGTCTGGTTTGTGTAGTTTTGGTCTGCCGTAGAACTGAGGAAGTACAGATTCATTCGATTTTATTCGCCACTTATTTTGTTATGTTATTTCTTCTGCTTTGAAGAGTATATATATTGTTTGGAAACTCATTCTGTCACGGAGACTCATACCTGTTTGACACAATACTAATGTGTAAACCTGTTTTTTAAAGACAGGTTTCATCAAGAATTCTCATTTACAATAAACAACTGAAACACTTAGAACAGTGAATAAGTGTAAATTCTTCTAATTAGCGGTAATACCCTCAGCACAACCTTATCTCAGAGAGGACACTTTACTAAGTTTGACGAAACTTGACACTAAGGCCACTGAACTAGAACATTTGAGATGACTTTTTTCAAATTCTTTTAGTTCTTTTAAGGGCTTGACCACACTTGTGGGCAGTTAGCTGGCTCTTATATTTTACCATTCACCCAACTAACATGGTACTTATGGGTTTTAACTAGAATTTCGTTATCTCTTGTGAGTTGACGAGTTGAAAATTAGTAATGTTTTATTCATTGGTGGATGAACACATCATAATATGGTCAAATGTTTCAAACAAATACTACTAAGTGCCAAAATATTAACCCCAGCTTGAGATTTTCACTGCAATAATTGAATTTTATGGTATGAACCTTGTTTGCGATCGATGGTCCACATTAGTGCTAGTCCCACCTTCAGGAAAGGGATCTACCCTCTGCTCCAAACTTTTCCGTGATTCCCTAAGTGATTTCATTTTATGTTGAAAACTAACGTTTCCTTATTATCATCATATATACATTTATATGCATATGGTAATGTGTACTACAGAAATTACATGTTTTGTATCATGAATAACGAAATGCAGAATGGGGACAAAAAATAATTTTCGTTACAAGTGTATGATTATTAAACACGTAAGGAGGCATTGTTGTGTAAGTTTTATTTTATTTAACTCTCATAAAGTGCTAGATGAAAAGCGTTACTGTCATATCTTCAACTCAGTTCCAATCTCCTTCAACCCGTTTTACGTATCAACGATGGTATACTACTGAAATGTAAGTAAGTAGTTTAGAAGTGTTTGGTGTATTTTTATAACTTTCTGCAGTAGATTTGTGAGAAAGTTGCTTTGCACAATTGTGAATCGACAAGTAAAAATCCCACAGGGTAGGCAACAGAACTCATATAAGCTAACCATTTAAATTGTATCAGTGTTCCAACAGATAAGAGATGGAAATAACTTGAGTTACTTAACAATAAATGACTAAGAGATGCAGTAATAAATGGCGACCACATAGCTATGGTAATCGCACATAAAATCATATTAAGCTTCACTGATTTCTGTTCAGGGAGTTGCTCAGACGTTTCTCTTGATCGGAAACCACTTTTAGGCTGATCTTGTTGAAGTCCTTGTCTTCTGTCCTTAGAATGATAGTGGGGTAAAGCATTGTTTTGCTTAGATAATTCTTTGAGTAAATTGTTATCCCTCTCTAAATTACACAATTGATTGAAAATAATATGAGCAGTGACTGGTGATGAAAACGTTGTACTTTTTGGCAGTGATAGAGGAATATTGTCAGCATGCACTGGTAAATTTTTGTCTTGTTGACTTGGTGAAATTGTAACACCACCTTGAGATGGCAAATCTTGTGTTCCTTGGTTACCACACTGTCCCATATCAACCTCCTGAACAACTGATAGTACAGGTTTATAAACATGTTCTGGTATCATAACTTGACCATGTTGTGGACAAAAGTGTTTAACTAGTTTTTGGTAAGGATTATTACCATTCAGTGTTTCAGTTAAATGTTCATTGTTTAAGATTTCCCATGGATTTTGAACGTCACTATTGATATTTGGTGAATTATTATCATTACTACAACAATGATTCCCCTTATACGTCAACCAGTTATGATTTGTGAATTCATCAGTATCTTCTGTTGTTTGACTCGAAATTCCAGCATCAGAAGAACTTGATCCTTGTTGATATTGGAAATTCGTTATTGCGGAGGATGATGGTAATCTTAGTGGTATAGGCGATTGGTGATCAATATGTGAAGAAGATTTTTGACGTCCTTCTGGAGAACACTCAGTATTGACAGAGGAAATATCATTCACTATTGTATACGCCATCTCATAATTTGCTGCTGTAAAATTTGTTTCGACCCGTGAACATCGACTTTCTACTAGTTTATTATCATGAATTTCATGCAGATTTTTGTATTCAGTCTGAAATGTTTCACATTTATTCAGTGAATCACAAGTTTTCTGTACCATAAATAAAAATAAGATGGTTATAGATATATCAAAGTCATTAAAAAACAATACTGTTAATGAATAAAAATACTAATTTAGCAGAAGCTTACTAGAAAATGATCAGTTAAAATCAAATTATCATCGTGACCCAACCTACTTTAAAAAGAAACTGATAGCCTTGAAAATTCAATCTATCCAAGTTAAGAATTGTTCTACGGAGAACATTAAACATTCATTACCATTCTGGACAGAATTTAGTACTTCTTAATGCTTCTTCAGATAATAAGAAAGGAATGAAAGACATTTTAAGTGAATTAAAAAATGTAGGATCACAAGTTAGTTCTTTAATTATTAATTGATGATCTATACTGGCTGATGATTGAAGAAGACAAGAAAATTTGAACCGCAGCCGGATTCAAACTAGAGACCACCGGATTTTACCCGACTACTGTGGGAATACGCGACGCGTTACTGGAGTAAAATGAAAATACGGTTAGCAGTCGGACCTCAGAGTTCAGTTGGTAGAGCATTGAACTGGAAACCCGGTGGACACTGATTCGAATCCAGCTGCAGTCCAAATTTTCAGTTCACCTTCAATCATCACCCAGTATAAATACTGGCCAACTAAACTACGGCTATCTCAGATAGTCAAATGATAACTGATAATCGTAATTAAAACAAAACTATCGGAATTACAGCATCATCTTTGCAGTGATGAGTTTATTTAAACCCGCTCTTAGGAAAAATGTTTTACTGAAGTTCATGACACAATTTACTAGTATGACTGTTTATCTGCTTTCAGATTAAAAATTTTACCAACAATAACTAAATTCTTTGATCTTCTAAAGTTCCTTAGTTGGACTAAAACGAATAAAGTGATTGGGAGCAAAGTCCATTTGAGTGGATCCTGTTGCATTTTGAACAGTGTTAAGACCGTCGAAGTTTTCAACAACTAAATTAGTTCTTATACAATTGTTTGGCTGAAAAATGTGTACTAAGGATACTGTGTCCCCTATTGTGCTTCGGTCAACAACCCCAAAATAAAGTCTACAGAATAAGAAATAATATGTAGTCACTAAACTATGCGATCTGATGTTATCATTTAGGAGATTAAAACATAAAACTTGTAAAATAGAGTACTGAAATCATTCACTGTAATAAACCAACCTAGATTGCTTTTACGTTATTGGATTATATCAGAGGCATACATTGTAATGGCATTAGTCTCCATAAGTTATATATATACACATATATATATATATATATATATATATATATATATATATATAACGAAATATTCGTAGCTCATATTGAGAATGATAAATATTCGATAATATCTAGACCTTCACCTTTACTCTTAGATGTTTTTTTTCCAGCAATAACATGGTGATAAGGAGATCATAATAGTCTACAAAGAAGAGTTATTTTTAGGTCAGTGAAGTTGAATTACTTTTAAATACTCATTCACCTTGATGAAGTCAATAATTTAGTATTGAAAAGTTCACGATCAGACGCCAATGCTCGGAGAATACTAGTCAATTAACACACAATATGTTGATATGATGTAATACATGACAGAAACTTTATACAAGAAGGAGCAAAAATAAGGACATTTTTACTGTCACAATTTCAAGTTGCTAAATTTCTTTCTCACACCTATTACAATGCACTAATTTCGATGATAACATAAACAAATATTCAATGTTTCATTCAATAAAAGTAGACTAAATTCCCTTCAAAACTGCTTCAAAATGATGTCTAGTTATCATATGACATTTGTCATATCAAATATTTATTTTGGATTAATTTATCTGAATTGATTTTTGAAGTTTATTAGTGTCAGTATGCTGACAATTTTGTAAAGTTCAATGTTTCCTGCACAAAAAGCAATCGACTTATTGTTGTCACCAAGATTTTGTGAATTTCAGATTATAAAATAAAATAAGTGAGACGGCAAGCAGTTAAGTTTCTAAAATATCTCTAAAAACATAGAACTTTGTTAGTGACTCGGATATTTATAAACAATTGAGAGTAATCTTTAAACAGAGACTTCGTATTTGCGAACACCTCTCAGAGTGGTTAAGTAAAGGTGATGTAAAGACCATTACTACCTCCATATTGGCACATCTGGTTCAAACGAACCATAAGGTGGATTTAAATGAGTCGTTTTCCACTATGTACAGAGATCCCATCAACTTACCAAAAGGTACTTGACTCAGGATCCTTCGAACTCCAGAAGCAGTAGCCATCAGGATCAAACAACCCGAGATATCTACTAAAAAGAAGCAAGTTTTGCCTCTACAAGTGCAGTGGCCAGATTCGGAACGCATAAATTCACTAGCATCTTGCCCAAGATAATCTAATTCCATACTGGAGATATCCCTTCTTCCCTATAATCTGAAACAATTTTAACAAATTCTCTTATCCTTTTTTGCCCTTCTTAGTTCATTTCACTCAATTGTTATAAACACCTTTCTTTTGTTTTATTAAACTATCACCTTTTAATATTACATAAGCCGAATCTTTATATTGCTGACGCATAACTCCTCAATATGTACATATAACTCTAGAACCTGATTAAAAAATTATCAAAAAGAATATTTTTTGTTCACTCAAATGACTTTTACTTTTATCCACTGATAAATAATATTTGCAACTTTTAGGAGACTGAAGTTTCCCCCAGAAATCAAAACTTAGTCAGAGATGTTACCATGAAAATATAAATTCCTCATAGGTTACGGTTTTTCAAAGTGGTTGAGATGCCTTTTCATCATTTAGGAAATATATTCTAAGATTATTAGTAAACTAATAGATTCTTACAGGCATAACTTAGGTATAATTATTTATTGGATTTCTGTTGAGAAGGACATATTTTCTTGGCATCTGAAGCGCAAACATTACTTAATAATGAGTTTATTTATTTACCTATTAAAGTTATGGTTTTATTTTTCCAGAAATAAATATGCTAATAATCTGTAGGCCGTTCTTACCTTAAAATGAAATGATATATTGAAAATCAATATCATGAACAACTTTCTTACTTTGGTCTGAAGCTTTTACATATATATACGTATATATATATATATATATATATGTACATATATATATATATATATGTATTTATATATATACATATATATATACCCTAAATTGGGTAGTTATCTGAGCTAAGATATAGACACATTTCTGTTATGCTCAGCTTTTGTAAGATTCTCGACACACATCGAAACAATCGCTTAAATTGTCCTCACTTCAACACCACAGTTTTGTTGTTATATAGTTTTTAGGAATAATCCCTGAAAGGAAGTTTACCATTATAAAACTTTATTCATAGGGAAAAAGGGGCATACTTTCTCACAATCAAGTACTTCCACTGATTCTTACAACGAAACGACGTTTCTTCACAGATGTATATTGATAAGACTACTCGACATACCTGAGATTAGTTGAAAAATCATAACATATTAATACAAATAATGCAGCTAAAAGAAATTCATGTGACAGATTTCGAACAAGTCAGTACGACCCTTCTTCTTACAACTAACCTAATCTACTCAATTTCTAGCCAGTGTACAAATATATGTACAATGAAATTTACACGCTTGTATAAAATAAGATTTTATTTCATTTATTAATTCTAGTATCACGAATGGAAGTAGTCCCAATTCCTCTCTAAAAGTATGAATATTCATTAGTTTGGTTCATTAGGCGGAAGAAATAATTACCTGATTGAAATAAAGAAATTTTCAATGAAAGTTGAATTTAATCCAGCGATAACTTTTTGATTATCATTTTGACTATCTGAGATAGCCGTAGTTTGGCAGACTAGTATTTATACTGGGTGATGATTGAAGGTGAAACGAAAATTTGGAATGCGACCGGATTCAAACCAGCGACCACCAGGTTTCCAGTCCGATGGTCTACAAACTGAGATACGAGGTCCGACTATTGATCAGATTTTTGTTTCAATTTGATGGCGCGTTGCAACTTCACATGGCAGAAGTGCAAAAGCCTTCGTCAGTAGTCGGAACTCTTAGTTCAGTAAGTAGAACTTCGAGCAGGAAGCCTGGTGATTTCTGGTTTGAATCCTGCCGTGGTCTAAATTTTCATTTCACCTTTAATCATCACCCAGTATAAACGTTTTGATTATTAACGGCACCGAAATACCACTACTATTATAACTAGTAAAGTATTAGAAAAGTAAGTAGTTGGATGGTAGTCTTATAAAAATATTTCACAAGATATTTCTAAAGAATCTGATATCCATTTCATTGGTTTTACCTGGGTTTAAATGCCCATTTATTTAACTGAAATGCTTGGTCAATTAGTCCATTTATTTACCTGCTGATTAAATACCTTCCTGAAGGACCTACAACAACTAAATGGCAATTAGCTTTACCAGAAGTCCTGTACGTTAGACAGTATGTTTATTAGATTGGGTGTCCATAGGCTTTTCAGACAAGTTCATTTTTCCGCCTTCTTAGAAAAAGGCAACCAACAGCTCCCAATAACCTTTAACTATACAGCACCTTCAGAACTGATAAAGTCTTTGAGCTCATATTACATTGTAATGAAACTAAAAACTAACCACCCCTTATCTTCACCTAATCCTATTAAAAAGCTTATTAGTATTTTACTGTGAACGCCAATTATCTAAACGTCTGTATATAACATCTTTAAGAAAGTAATCCGGCTGTTCTGAAGTCCACAAGTTTCTTGACAGACTCGATTGTGTCATCAGGGATTTGCTAAACCGAGTAAGTATCTTATGAAGGTGGGTTTTTGTAGGAGTGAGCAATGAGTTAAGCCTTACAATACCTTTTTTCTTCTACGTTTATAAAATAAATGACAAGCTTTTGCCTTCACCCGCCAATCAGCGAAGGTCTGTATATAAAATCAGAATAGATTATGCTATGAACATCTATTTAAACCAACAGAACTGTTATTTAGTTGGAGGCAATCAGTAGAAAGCTTATCTAGACCTAAGTTTTGTTCTTCTTGGAAGTCGTCAG